GAGTATATATTATACTGAATGAGATAACTTCTATTTTGTTGTTGTCTGGGAGAAGAGAGCTTGTAGCTATGAGGACAGAGAATATGGCAAGGGAGAGGCTTGGTTTCCTTCCCACTTCCTGTTTTGCATTATAGTGATTTATTCCTTGTTTAATCTGTTTATTCTTCCTTCGCTCTTATAACCTTGTTATATTGCAGAATGACATTTTTAATAATGTAGCAAACTTGGTCTATTGCAAAGTAGAAGAAGGCTTTCAAATCTTACAGCTTGCAGACTAGTAATCCTGGATGTTATGCTGCCTTGATCCTTATTTTTCCTGGATTTTCTGTTTATAAAATCAGAACAAGCCATTGGCCCCTAAGCAAATAGAGGGTCTTTATTAACTTTGATTAGGAACATCTTTTGCTTTTTTGGCACCTGAAGAACTGCTGGTGTTCTCCATATTCTTGTTCCCCACCATCATGAATAGAAATACTGATTTCAGAATAGTCCTTTGGTTGAATTTTGGATAGGAAAATGCAAGGATCTGAGTTATTTTTAAGTTGTGGTGAAGGAACAATTTTCTGTTAATGACTTATGTGAACATGGCTATTATATCCTCACAGGGAGCCAGAGCTGTCTTGCCTCAGTAAAGCATCAATAAAGTATCACTCTCCTGATCATGTTCCTTCAGGTTTTTATTTTTGTGACAAGGCCTTAGAAATACTATAAAAATTTATATTGGATTTAATGAGTTTCATTGTTAATATATGTATATGTACTTTTCATTATAGCTGCTATAAATATCACAGATACTAATGTGAGGATCACTTGAAAGAAAGGAACTATGTTTGGACATTTTCATTTCAGTCCCTTTTCTTTTTCCTTGCTATTCAGTTCCACCATATTTTATAGTGTAGCCTAAGGACATGATTAAGATTGCTTGGATCAAAAAAATTCACAATTGTTGATTGTATAAAATGTAAACAATAAAAAAATGAGAAAATATTACATTAAAAAAAAATACTTTCACATTTTTTTAACACTCTGTCAATGCACTATTACTTAAATTTCTGTAGATGAGTCTTTAAAAGAAATAATGCATTCTGGGTTTCCTATTTTTTATCCTCAAAGAAGTAGCCTGTCTGTTGGTGTAGACAGCACTTTTTCTTTTTTTTTTTTTTTTTTTACCTGGAATACTTTCTTTGGCTTTGCTTTCCCAACCAAACATTCCTTTATATTCTTCTTCACTACAAATCACCAGGGAAGAAAGGAGGCAACTTATTTTTAAATAGAAGAGCAGTGTTATGTGCATAATAATATATAAGTATCACAACTAGGAAAAAAAAAAAAACTGAATAGCTACTACCCTTTCAGGATGATTGAAAAATAGTTCACTTTAATAGGGAGACCACTTGTACTCAAATCTGGGTGCTGTGCACAGACTTTACCTGGTAGACTGCAAACTGTTAATGACCTGTTCACTTCTTTCTTCCTCTGTCTTATAGATTGTTCCTTCTTTGTCTGTGACAAGCCCTAAATAAAAACCCTAAATAAAACCAAGTATTTTGGTTCTGTGATTCCATATCTAGATTTTTTTTACTGTTCTCCTTCACCACAGGCGGTGATTTCTCCAAGATGTCACTCAGCATTGAAACCTATCAGCATTAACAAGTGATCGTTCATTTTATCACAGATACAGAAGCATGCAGTGCACAGTGCTTAAAACCCATCACTTGCTACAGAATGTGGTCTCTAAAATTAAGCTGTTTAATTTTTTTCTGGAGATGAGAACTGATTTAACAATTCACTGGATTGAACTGCTTTTCAAATTTTTCTTTACTGTAGTTGATCTTTTTAGATGGTAAGAACTGATTAGGAATACAAGCCATTTTGAATCTACTATTAAAAAGAGTAATAAAAAATTCCATAAGGTTTGTGCTAACTTTTTCCTTAATTTGTCTAAACCAATCTGTTATGTGTCAAAAAAAAAAAAAAAATGTTTTAAAAGTGCTGAAATCAAAACTTAAAGAGCATCAAATAAATTTGAGGAAGAGGGCTTTTAAATGTAGCATTCCAAATGCACAAATGCAGAATGATCTATGAGTATAGTTTATTGTGTCTAATACAGTGTTAGAATCTGACTGCCACACAATGGATACTGCTACAATTAAACTCCCAGTGCCCTACATGATGTTATGACTTGGAATACCGAAAACCAAAAATCACAAAACCATGACAACCCTTATTCATGTAGGGCATTGGGAGTTTAACTGTTAATGCTAAAGTTCTGGGTACCTGGCTGGAAAAGAACTACATTCCCCAGGGGACTTTGTGATCACAGAGAGGAGATACAACTCCTGGCAAGAACACCTGATGTCCTCTTCTTTGTCCGCTCTTCATTGGCTCTCCTCCTGTCTCTTCGCTGCTCAACGGGACTGCGCATCTCACCTCAGTGTTTTGGTGAGGCCTATCCACCTTTTGGAACTCTCTCTCATTATATTTGATTTATTAGCTTCAATTTTAATTATATTGTATTATAGTGTGTTATCTTGCATTCCGATACTATCTTCAGTAAATTAGTTTGTTTCTTCTCAGATCGTTGCTGCTGTTTTTAATTATTTTGGGGTCCCCTGTTCCCTTTTTCTGGAGGTGCGGATTTTACGAAATCCCTTCACCCTGCTAGTCACGGAACCAGGCAGAACCAGCCCATAAACATTTGATACTGAAGGAGCTGGGATTGTTCAGGCTGGAGAAGAGGAGGCTCAGGGGGGACCTTATTGCTCTCTATAACTACCTGAAGGGAGGTTGTAGTGAGCTGGGGGTCGGCCTCTTCTCTCATGTAATTGGTGATAGGACTAGAGGGGGAATGGCTTCAAACTGTGCCAGGGAGATTTAGGTTGGACTTCAGGAAATACTACTTCTCTGAAAGAGTGATCAGGCTGTGGAATGGGCTGCCCAGGGAGGTAGTGCAGTCCCGACCCTGGAGGCATTCAAGGAATGTTTGGACATTGTGTTGAGAAATATTGGTGATCAGTGGTTGGACTGGATGATCTTGTAGATAATTTCCGACCTTGGTGTTTCTGTGATTTTTGTCACTTTGTGAAGTCAAGATATGACACGTAAGTTTCTAGCATCTTTGAAACACTTTCACATTTGTACTGAAAAATCTAGAAATCTAGATGTAAATTTGTTGGATAACTCTAATCTGTAATTTTCAGAGGATTTTTACTATGAAAATCTTTGAAAAACAAAATTTACTATTAAAAATGGGAAGGTGCTTTAAATTGCTAGAATTGCCTAATAAGTAAATGAAGTACATTTATCTAACTAAAAGTGGTGAAATGTTGAGATGGGTACAATAGATAAAATGGATTTTATGCAACTCCATTCCAAGTCCACTGTTGTAATAAGATTCAAGGCATGACACTATTGTAATGGACACTTTTATGAAAGTACTTTAATAATCTTATGTGTTCTGATCTATCTATTCATTCAGTTCTACAAATTACATCATAACAATAAGTTAATTGCTAAAAGAATAAAATGTGAGCTATAATATAGAATCATAGCATCATTTTGGTTGGGAGGGACCTTTAAGATCATCTAGTTTCAACCTCCCTGCTACAGTCACTCTAGATCAGGTTGCTCAAAGCCCCATCCAGCCTGGCCTTGAATGTCTCCAGGGTGGGAATATCCACAGCCTCTCTTGGCAACCTGTTCCAGTGTCTCACCATCCTCACAGTAAAGAATTTCATCCTACTATCTAGTCTAAATCTACCCTCTCTCAGTTAAAATCTATTTCCCCTTGTCCTGTTGCATCACACCCCAATAAAAAAAATCCATCCCCAGCTTTCCTGGAGTCCCCTTCAGGTACTGAAAGGCCGCAAGAAGGCCACCCCAGAGTCTTCTCTAGGCCGAAGAGCCCTTACTTTCTCAGCCTGTTCCTGTAGGGGAGATGCTTCAGTCGTCTTGATCATCTTTGAGGCCCTCTTCTGGATCCAGTCCAAAAGCTTAATGTCCTTGTGTTGAGGGCTCTTGATGGCTGTTCTGCATAGTATCATGCATTTATTTTTACACTCAGGCTGCTTCAGAGCACATTTCATGTAGATTAATAACGAATTTCCATAATATACGTATGACACTTGTGAGAAAGGTATTTTTGTGTTCCTAAGAGATTTGTTTGTATCAGTATAGGTTGCTTGGATTTCCAAAATGCATTCAAAAGCTCACCCTTTAATTTTTTCTAAGGAAAACTGATTGAGGAGCTAGAAAAATATCATATGGAGTTTAAATTTAAAAATAAAAGGAATAAAGAGAGAGTCAAGTGGAAAAAGTCACCAGTATAATAACTAGCACTTCTACTGTTTAACGCATAGATCATAGAATCAAAGGTGTTCCAGCCCTCTCATCATCTTGGTGGCCCTGCTCTGGACCCTCTCCAAGAGGTCCACATCCTTTCTGTACTGGGGTCCCCAGGCTTGGATGCGGTACTCCAGATGGGGCCTCACAAGAGCTGAGTAGAGGGGGACAATCACCTCTTTCTCCCTGCTCGCCACCCCTTTTTTTTTAATGCAGCCCAGAACATACTTGGCAGGCCATGGACCCTGCCTGCCTTGACTGCCTGGTGTTGTGCCTCTGCTTGCCTTGGCTGGCTGCCTGGAGTTCCGGCATTTGCCTGCCTGCTTTGGCTGCCTGGCTGAAGTCACAACCCCTTCCTGCCTGCCTTGGCTGATTGGCTGGATTCGTAGCCCTTGCCTGCCTGCCTTGGCTGGCTGGCTGCAATCATGGCCCCCACCCACCTTGGGTGACTGACTGGCTGGAGTCGCAGCCCTTAGCTGACTGGCTGGAGTCATGGCCCTTGCCTACCTTGGCTTGCTGGCTGGAGTCACAACCCCTTCCTGCCTGCCTTGCCTGACTGGCTGGAGTTGCAATCCCTGCTTGCCTGCTTTGGTTGACTGGTTGGCTCGAGTTCTGGCCCCTGCCTGCGTTGGCTGGTTGGCTGGAGTTGTGGCTCTTACCTGCCTGCCTTGGCTGGCTACTGGTGTCCTGGTCCCAGACTGACTGCCTTGGCTGACTGGCTGGAGTCATGGCCCATGCCTGCCCACCTTAGTTGGCTGGCTGGCTTGTGTCACAGTTGGTGTTCTGATGTCATGATCTTTTTGGAGAGAGACTAGAATACTCAATGGTCATGCTCAAAGATAGAATCATAAAGTCATAGAATGCTCTGTGGTCCTTTTCCACCCAGTGATAGCTACGTTCAACCCCAATGCTATGTGCAGGGTTACCAACCACTAGAACAGGCTGCCCAGAGCCTGGCTTTGAATGCATCCAGGGACAGGACATCCACAGTCGCTCTGGGCAACCTGCTCCAGTACGTCACCACCCTCTGAGTAAAAAACTTCCTCCTAATATCTGAACTACACCTCCCCTGCCTTAGTTTTGAAATCATTTCTCCTTGTCCTATCACTATCAATGCTTGTAAACAGTTGTTCCCCCTCCTGTTTATACGCTCCCTTCAAGTACTGGAACGTCACACTGAGGTCTCCCTGCAGCCTTCTCCAAGCTAAACAAGCCCAGTTCCCTCAACCTTTCCTCATAGGAGAGGTGCTCCAGCCCTCTGATAATCTCAGTTGCCCTTCTCTGGACTATTTCCAAGAGCTTCACGTCCTTCCTTTACTGGGAGCTCCAGGCCTGGATGCATTACTCCAGATGGGGCCTCGAAAGAGTTGAGTAGATGGGGATAAATGATCTGTAAAAGAATGATCAGTAAGGTAACAAATTTAGTTGAAAATAATAAACTATTCGGAGTACCTGTGTGGAATATCCAAGGGGTGAGTAAGTATTATTTTTGCAGATGAAATTTAACGGTGATAGATGTGAAATAATGCACATTTTGGAAAAACAATATTAGCTTCCATAGGACCGAGTAGTCCTAACTTTCTTGAACTTCCTTGTCTATTTTCTATAGCCAGTTATCTTGGAATACTCATGTCCTGGGATGACTTGAGGCATCTTTTGGATTCTCTATGGAAGTATCAGTTTTCAGTAATGACATTATTGTTGAATATGAATCAGAAAATGGTCAAGAAAGATTACTTAATTATGTAATTTCTCCAGTGTAAGTAATAACTGAATGGTCTAGGATTTCTCTGTATAGAAAGAAAATTTGAATAGGTGACATGGCAAAGATTTATAAAAACATGAACAGCATGGAGAAAATAAATAGGGACTGATTACAATTTTATTTTTCTGTAAAGATAGCAAGTGTCATATTCAAGTCAAAAGAAAATGACTCTGGAAATGATTTGCATTTAAGTTGTAGGACTTCTTGTAACAGGATGAATACCCGTACACAAATTTTTGCAGACTTCAAATAGCAATTGGGCCTCTGCACAGTAGGCAAATCAAATCAGCCTATGAAACATTAATCTTTGTCTTAAGAAGACCCTGAGCTGCAAATTATAAAAACTTTTGATAATATTCTGTCTAGTTACTCTTAGTGTTTTCCTTGTTCCAGACATGTTCTGTCAGTCACTGTTGGAAACAAAACATTGGATGGAATGAGCCTTTGATTTGACCCATGCAGAGATTTTTTGAAAATTTTGTTGTTTTCAGAGGAATGTGGATATCACTTGGATTTTAAATTTTTTTCTCTCCTTTTTACCGGTATATTTCATTATACTCACAACTAAGCTCATGTTATTTTGCATTTAGTCTCTAAAAAAATTAAATAATAACAACAACAAAAATTACGAAAACAAAGAAAACCACCTTTTTTTCTTTCTCTTTTAATGTATGCACAACTATAGTCCTTAGACACTGATAGAGAATAAAAAGAAACTGGGAGGGAGGACATATGTTTAGACAGATCTTTTTTGTTTATTATTTGTTTTATCTCTTTGGTTGTTCAGTCTCTATCAAGTATTGCAAAAGTGTTTAAGAGCTTCTTCATTTCTGTAAAACCAGATGTCTCATTTTTTTGAGATCTTTTCTGTCCATTGAATACAATCTCCTCCTCTGTTTCAGCAATGCTGTGACCTGTTAGGGCAGATCCTTATCAGTTTCTGCGTGCTTCATTACAAATGCGCTGCTTTCTAAAAAATAAATAAATAAATAAAGAAAATTCTGGAGACTTTTTCTTTTTCCTTACCAAAATTCAGTTTGTTATATTGTATTCAAATTGCAATATGCAATAAAGCGAGCTACTGTTGTCTAGAAAGATGGTTCGCAATTTCTTTCAGGTAAAACAGTAAACAGAACAATGCTGACATTACTAACGAAATCTGAGTGAATTGCATAAGATTAAAAATACACTTGTTTTATCATTCTGATGAGAGTTGTTCTGGGATTTTCAAACCTATGTTTCATTTTCTACCTCTCATAGGAAATCCTGAAGTTTTCTTTTTCTTCTAAGACTTGTTATTTTGAGAGTATAGAAGCTTTGTGTGTCACATAGAATTTAAACTTCATATCATAAGAAGTTATTCAAATTGTGGAAATGATCTTGTAGTAAAACAGGATATACAAGCAAGTGATAAATGTATTGAATCATCCATTCTTAATGTCTTCCATAGGGTTTTCACAGTGCAATTAATTCCATGAGAAGAAACTTATGGTTTACTCGCAGAAATTATTTAGTTTTAGTCTGCTTAGTGCTTGTCTCTTTTTTGAACTGACAAGGTGACACTTCAGTAAGATTGTCATTTTTTTTCTCCCTTTTTGTAGTTAGAAGATAACAATACCCATTCTTCACCATCCATTCTTTTTCTTTATTATTGTTATTGTGGTTTAATGCTGCATTATCTGATACTGTGCAAAGCCAGTTGACATACTTTTAGTACTTACAAATTTCATAGTTATTTCCCATATTACTTTTATGCGTGGTCTCACAATGAGCTAATCTACAGAAAATCATTTTGAGAGGTTTAATTTGTAAGCACATCTAAAGTGTCTTTATTATTTCCTTGACTGCTTCTCATGTTTCTTGGGTGCAAAATTTTTTTTAACCCACTGTACAAGCCAGTATTCAGAGGGCTGTGGCTATGGAATCATTGTCATTCTAGTTCACAAAATGACCACCTCAAACATAGCTCTGCCATTTACCCACCACAAGACCAGGATGTGAAAAGGAAATGGATATAAAGATAGTGCTAACGCTTAAAAGATTGAAATTGCCTTTTAAGCCTTCAGAGTACATTAAATCTTCCCCTGAAATGGTCTTCCAGGAATGCTGAAACCTACTATTGCTTTATCACCTAAGAATAGCAAATTAAAACCTTTCTTTGAGCAATAAAAAAATACTTGTGGTTCAAAAGAGGGAGCTGGCACTGGCTTTGAAAGGCATTTCTTTTTTCTGAGATCACCTTGGTCCTAGGAATATGGTATTTGGCTAATAAAGATATTTGAATAAAATTCAAATCTATCTTTCTCTCTCCAAATACTGTTGCTTATGTATTTCTGCATACATTATTTCAATATTCTGTAGCATCTTTTACTTGCCTAATATCTAGTTTGTGTTCTTACATTCTATGAAAATGTAATTTGCATATTGTATTTTTTTTACCACACTTCTGTATTTCAAATCACATTTGAAGAATGAGTGTGAAAAGAGCATTTGTTTTCTTCTCTACCATTCATGGACAAATGCAGCTGAATTGCCAAGTTGTGGTCTGAACCAGTGATTGAGCACCAAGTGAAAAGTTGTGGCTAATTCAGGGAGCTCAGGTGCAGGCAATGCATCTGAGTCACTGGAAGGGGTGGACTTTGGATCCATCTCTCTTTGCCTTCATTTAAGGGTTAGCAGCTGACGGAGTGCTATCTGTCTGGATAGAGATTGTATTTCTTTTGAGCTGTTGCTTGTTGTTTGAAAGGATGAGTTGATCTCCTTTGTTGTCTTTCTTGCTCTATAGTGCTTATAGCTCATTAGAAGGCACTGTCATTGACACTTCTTTGTTTTCCGTAGATGGATTATATTATATACTATGAAATCATTTTTCTATAAAAATGTCCTTTCCAAAGTACATGCCACCATATGTAATATGGAGGATTTATTGTATGATATTCTAAGAAAGCTAATAAAAAAAAATAATTAAGATTTACCATTACTGGAAGATTTTATTCTGTTTCACTTTGTTTGATTTTATTGTTCCACACTTACACTTGGAAGAACATTTTCTTTCCACATTTAATAGCTCCCAATTGAGTTTTGTCAAAATCAAGTAACAAATATGTTCCTCAAAAAATGATCTTTTTTCCCTTAAATTTCTAGTAATGTTATTTATCTATTTATTTAAAAGAATCAAGAGGGCTAGAAAAAAATTGTTTGTGATGTAATATGAGCTACTAGTTCAGTGATTCTAGATATTTCTAAGCAAGGCATAAAACTAATGATGGTGTATGTATTTTTATTGTAGGTAGCTTGCCTGTAGTATCTTCTTAATTTTTTATGGGTATTTGCTATTTCTGGATTAATCTTTGTCTAGTAACAAATTGAGAACTGTATCTTTTCTGCTAGTGTACTGTACAAATTTACTTTAAATCCCCATTTGGTGTATTTACATCTTAGAGGTCAGCCTATGACACTAATGCTGCATAGTGGAAGAACATCTAGTTTCTGGATAGCTGGGCAGAAATATTGCACGGTCATGGAAATTAGAGATGGATTTTCTAAACTTCCTAAAACTTGCGGTTAGGTTTGTGAAAAAGAAATATAGCAACACTGATGTTGATTAAGAAAATAATTGTTTGACATCCCTAATAAGAAATTAATTAATGTGAGTACAACTAATTCTGTTGTATTTCAGAATTTCTCCTACAGTGACCTGTTTTCCCCTCACTCTAATTGTGCATCTTTCTAGGCGCATCAAAATGCATTTGTGAAAAGTGTGGGATATCTAATGTCAAACCACCCACAACATCCAGTGTGGGAGACTTTGGCTGCTTTTGAAGTTTCTTAAACCTGCGTTTGAAAATTTAGTGTCAATAACACATCTTAGTTTAGTGGTCTTATCTTTCCACAACTAAGGGTTATCTCATCAAATATGTGAGATAAAAACATGTGTATTGGATCAGACTTTGCCCTTTTTGAGCAGTAGTCATTTTGTAATAAT